GGGACATACACATAATCACATTGAATAATCTGGAGAAACAGTGGCAATGCGGGTGGGACAGCCACAACCACTGTGGGTGCAATAAAGAATGCTGTTGCCTATGTCTTTCTTCTACTATGTCTCTTCTTGGTGTGGGGTGATGTGAAAAGAATTGTGGGATAGCAGTGGTATGTTGGGGAAAAAAAAAGAGGGGGTGAGAAGTGGAAGGTAATTAGAAGGGGGACTGGGTGGTGGGAGGGGAAAATGGGTTTGAGGGGTGTAGTGTGACATGGAGGTGGAGAAGGTTCAGGCAGGGGAGGGTAATGTCTATATCTAACTAGGGCCAGACAGGGTCTGACAATATTCTGGAGAGTAGGTAAGTTCAGTCCAGTAAAACTAGGTTTTTCTAAATTGTTCATCATTAGTTGAGAGCAGCTGTGATGTCCTCCATTAATTTAATTAATTGGGCTTTGGATGTCCACATACTAATAGAGAAGGGGGATTTAGGTGATTACCAGGGAAGGTAGATACATGCCCTCATGGCATTAATTGGGTGGAAAGGTTTGTCTCTTTTTTGGTATGGGAGTCAGGTGGAGAAGAGCAGCCAGGTTAATGTTTAGGTCAAAGGTGGTATCTAGATTCCTTTCCCATTTTTGAATGTACAGTTGTGTTCAAAATAATAGCAGTCAGACATCACTAACCTGATTAATCACTGTTTTTGGTAGAAATTATATTTCTACATGGCAAATAATTTACTAGCAGGTGTAGTAGAGTAATAGGAATCCAACAGACCCAACAGTCATTACATGCATGCTGCTGATTCTGAGTAATTGAATCACTAATTGACAGGGGCATGTTCAAAATAATAGCAGTGTGGAGTTCTATTAGTGAGGTCATTCATTCTTTGAAAAACAGGTGGCAATTATTGCCCTTATTTAAGGAAGGAAGGCATCAAATGTTGTACTTGCTGGTTACAGTGCATTTCTCTCTGAGGAAAATGGGTCGTTCCAGACATTGTTCAGAAGAACAGCGTACCTTGATCAAAAAGTTGATTGGAGAGGGGAAACATATCAAGAAGTGCAGAAAATGATAGGCTGCTCAGCTAAAATGATTGCAAATGCTTTAAAATGGCAACCAAAACCTGAAAGACATGGAAGAAAGCGAAAAACTGAAATTCCAATGGATAGAAGAATAGCCAAAATGGCAAGGACTCAGCCAACAATCAGCTCCACGAAGATCAAAGAAGGTCTAAAGTTACCTGTGAGTACTGTTACAATTAGAAGACGCCTATGTGAAGCCAAGCTATCTGCAAGAAGCCCCCGCAAAGTCCCACTGTTGAAAAAAAGGCATGTGCTGAAGAGGTTACAATTTGCCAAAGAGCACATTGACTGGCCTAAAGAGAAATGGCGCAACATTTTGTGGACTGATGAAAGTAAGATTGTTCTTTTTTGGGTCTAGTGGCCGGAGACAGTTTGTCAGACGACCCCCAAACACTGAATTCAAGCCACAGTACACTGTGAAGACAGTGAAGCATGGTTGCACAAGCATCATGATATGGGGATGTTTCTCATACTACGGTGTTGGGCCTATTTATCGCATACCAGGGATAATGGATCAGTTTTAATACATCAGAATACTTGAAGAGATCATGCTGCCTTATGCTGAAGAGGAAATGCCCTTGAAATGGGTGTTCCAACAAGACAATGACCCCAAACACACCAGTAAACGTGAAACATCTTGGTTCCAGACCAACAAGATTGACGTTATGGAGTGGCCAGACCAATCCCCGGATCTTAATCCGATAGAAAACTTGTGGGGCGACATAGAAAAATCCAGTTTCTGAGGCAAAATTAGGAAATAGAGAAGAACTGTGGAATGTAGTCCAATCATCCTGGGCTGGAATACCTGTGCACAGGTGCCAGACGTTGGTTGAATCCATGCAACACAGATGTACAGCAGTTCTCGGAAACAGTGCTTATACAACTAAATATTAATTAAGTGATTCAAAGGAAAGCAAAATCTTCAAACATTTTTCAGTTTATATAGTGAATGTCTGAGTTTGTAAAGAAGAATACAAACACTGCTATCTTTTTGAACAGTCTAATGTTCACTTTTCTTCAATTTGTTTTAGAGGAACAACACAAATTTGATATATTTTTCTTTATGTTTTGATTTGGAATAGAATGTGTAGTGTTCCCAATGCATTTGTGTGTATGGAAATAAAAGCTATTAGAAGGATTTTGAGCTTTATTCACTTTTTTCAACACACTGCTATTATTTTGAATACAACTGTATGTGAAGAAGAAGCCCTTCAGGGGGGTTAAAGGTGGGAGTATGAGATGGATAAACCAGATGTTTTCTGTCTGTATCAATGCACAATTTTTAAAAAGACGTGTATGTTAAGCTTCCAGTTCAGCAGGGGCTGACCATATTTCGATCCATGTACAGGAATGCTGGTTCCATACAAGTCTATCTGTCAATCAACGTGTAAAACCAGACTGTTGTAAAAATGTTCTCTCAATCAGTGCCACTGATTATAGCTGGGGATGCTTATCAGTGTATTCTGACTTGTGTATGGCCAGCTTTAGAGTTAGTACATTAACTTGATAGAATCATTAAGAAGCGGCAGATCTACATTACCCCTAGAGTGGGAGGGAGGGTAATTTTTTTGGATGTAATGGATTGGTTTCCATCTCTCTTAAAGTCGAAAATGATTGAGTTAGGTTTGGTTGAATTGTAGGAGTGAGTGAAGGAACCATCCTGAATGACCAGGGAAATCATAGATTGATGGCATGATGGAATGTATTATGGTTATCACGAGGTTTGTTCCTGCCTGACAGACAGCCTTGAGAGTGGTACACATTAGAATGAAATGTTAGTATTACAGGTGTATTTTCTCCCTGCCACAGCAAGTTTTGAAAGTGTACATTAAAACAGTTTGTTCCAGATGAATCCAGCATTTACATTCATAGTTTATGCACCAGTAAAAAACTCTAGATATGTGGACTTTTTTTTAGTATACCAGAGGATCTAGGAAGCCAATACCACCGAGGGTTTTTGCCTTCGAGAAGAGGATGCATTTTAGCCTGTAGGAATAGACTGAATTAAACTGGAGAAAGGAGGATTTGATGAAGGAAATTGGGATGTGTACTGACATGTATTCGATAAAAAAACAGGAGTATGGGTAATATATATTTATATAATATATAAATGTATTTATTTTTATGGTATTGTTTCACCTGAACCACAAATGAAGGTTTGAATTTTATTGGCAAAAACCCTATCTAATTGTCACTAGGAGGGGGAGGATGTTGTTGGGAAAATTAGTTTGATAGTTGGGCTAATGTGGATACCCAGGTATTTGATACTGCAGGTGGTCAGTTTGAATAGCACGTTTGTTGATATGTGGTGAAGTCTGTGATGTGGGATATTTATATTTAGCAACTCTGAATTTTGGAGGTTAATCTTGAACTTAGAGAGTGGGTCAAGTGATATAAACTCAGTAAACCGTTTGGGGAGGGAGATTTCAGGTTGATAAAGAGTAGTGGGTCATCCGTGAAGCCTGCTACTTTGTGTTGAGGTGGCTGTTCTGTAGGCCATTAATGTTGGAATTAGCTCAACAGGGGTTCTAGGGAGCAAATGAAGATTTGGGAGAAGAGCAGTAACCCCTGACCAGTTCCATTGGTTGTAGTGAAGGAATCAGGAAAAGAGTCCTTCATCTTGACTGCCCTTGAGAGAGAAGTATACATGGAATCAATCTATTTTCCCTTTATTTTTCATATTGTTATGCAATGTATGGTGGTTTTGAGAAGCCTCCAACTTGTGCAATGAAATGCCTTTTTGGCATCAATTGAGAGAACAATTGTTGGAATTATACTGGTGTGTGCCTTGTGGATTGTTTTTACAGCCCTAGTGGTGGTGTTTATGGCTTCTCTGTTGGGAACAAAGCCTGCTTGAACTGGGTGAATGCTATGTTGGATTAGAGGTGCAATTAGGGTTTTACCAAAAAGTTCTAGGTAAACATTTAATAATTAAATGAGCTGATAGGTATGTTTTGTTTTTGCCCTCTTTTGGAATAATTGTGATGGGGCCTCTGAGTGAGTTGGCCAGGAATATATGATCTAGAAGTATGTAGGCTTTGAGGAATGGTCAGGTAAGATGTTGTAACTTTTTATAGCATGGGAGAGTGAAACTGTCTGGACTAGTGGCTTTGCAGATTCTAGTGGACTTCAATGCCACAAGCAGTTTGTCTTTAACTGCTTGCCTACAGGGCACTTATACCCCCTCCCTGCCCAGGCCAGTTTTCAGCTTTCAGTGCTGTCGCACTTTGAATGACAATTGCGTGGTCATGCCACACTGTACCCATATGACATTGTTATAATTTTTTTGAGACAGATAGAGCTTTCTTTTGGTGGTATTTAATCACCTCTGGGTTTTTTATTTTTTGCTAAACAAACCAAAAACAACTGAAAATTTAGAAAAAAAAAAATTCTTAGTTTTTGTTATAAAATTTTGTAAATAAGTAATTTTCTCCTTCACTGATGTGCGCCAATGAGGCTGCAGTGATGGGAACTGATAGGCTGCACTGATAGGTGGCACTGATAGACACTGATGAGGAGGCACTAGTAGGTGGCACTGATGGGCATTGACAGGCATCACTGATGGGCACTGAAAGGCAGAACTCATATGGCACTGTTAGGCGGTACTGGCTGGCACTGATTGACATTGTTAGGCGGCACTGATAGGCAGCACTGACGGGCACTGATAGTCGGCACTGATACGCACTGATAGGCAACACTGGCTGGCCGCACTGATATGTAGCACTGACTGGCACTGATAGGTGGCACTAAAAGACAGCTCAGATGGGCACTGATATGTGGCATTGATGTGCACTGGTAGGCACTGATATGTGGCATCGATGAGGCACTGATGGGCACAGGCAGGTGACATTGATGAGCACTGACAGCTGGCATTGATGGGCACTGACAGGTGGCACTGCTGGGGCTTCACTAATCATCATGGCACACTGATCATCAGTGCCCTGATCATCAGTGTACATGTCCTCTCTGAGGGATGCCGATTACCGGCTCTCCTCTCCTCTCGAGCTGTCAGCGTCACAGCTCGTGAGGAGAGAAATGCCGAAAACTGGCATTTCCCTATTTACATGTGATCAGCTGTGATTGGACACAGCTGATCACATGACCAAGCCGACACCTTCAGCTCTTTCCGCTGATTGGTGCTGCACGCTCCCAGAGCCGCACATGCGTGGTTTGAGTGGGAGGACGTCATATGACATCCTCCCAGAACAAGAGAACCGCCTTGCGCCCATCATTACCTTATTTGGCGGGCGGGAGGCGGTTAAAGATAGGGGTGATTTAATGATTGCCTTTCTTTTGAGAATAGGCATGGAAAGCCTGACCGAGATAAATATAGGTCTGTATCCTGTTGGGATAAAGTAGGTGACTGAAAGTAGGTGACTGCAAGTCGGCAGACTGTATAGTGAAGTATAGTATTCTTCGAAGCAGCAGGCAATGTCTTCAGGTTTATATACTAAGATGCCTTGGCTTTTATTGATCTGGCAAATGCTGTGCTTGGTTTATTGTAGTTATTCATAACATTACCTCTCGGTTCTTGTTTGCTGTGCTTTTAATTTGGTTAAACATTGATTGTTTAGTTGTGATCATATCTACTATAGTATTGTGGCTGTGGCCTGGGCACAATTTTCCTTTTGAATAGTTTTTTAGTTCGATGATTTGGGACAGTAAGTCAGTTATCTTTTTGACCTTGCCTGCTTTAACAGATGCACCCTGTAAGACTTCATTATCTTGACTGGATTGTAACTTTAATTTAAAATGTACACTTCTGTCCTTCTAAAATAGGAGTGGTACTGCAGCCACAACCAAAGGGAGTCTGTCAATTCCTTAGAGGTGTACACTCATTAGCCACTTTATTAGATACACCTGTTAAATTGCTTGGTAACACAAATTGCTAATCAGCCAATCACATGGCATCAACTCAATGCATTTAGGTATCTAGACGTGGCAAAGACAACTTGCTGATGTTCAAACCGAGTATCACAATGGGGAAGATAGAAGATTTAAGTGCCTTTGAACGTGGGGTGATTGTTGGTGCCAGATGGACTAGTCTGAGTATTTCAAAAACTGCTGATCTACTAGGATTTTCACCCATAGCCATCTCTAGGGTTTACAAAGAATGGTCCGAAAAAGAGAAAATATCCAGTGAGCGGCAGTTTTGTGTGAAAATGCCTTGCTACTTCAGAGGTCAGAGGAGAATGGACAGACTGGTTCGAGATGATAAATAGGCAACATATGGTTGAACTGGATGGACATTGTCTTTTTTTTCAGTCAGACTAACTATGTAATATGTCAGTATGGACCAAAATCTTTCAGGGTGTTTCCAACATCTTGTTGAATCTATGCCACAAAGCATTAAGGCAGTTCTGAAGGCAAAAGAGGATCCAGCCCAGTACTAGCAAGGTGTACCTAATGAAGTGGCCGGTGAGTGTATATGTCAGACACAGTCAAACAGCTAGTAAATTAGTGCAGCTGAGGTCAGTTTAACACAAGATGGAAGTGAATAAAAAGATGTGCAAACATGTAATGGTTATCCATTACAACCAGAGTTTTCATTTATTTGACCAATGAATACTGAGTGGCTACTATGGACACCAGTCCTCTCTACACCTCTTTACTTTGATCACGTTTTTGTAGATACTTTTGAGCAATGGTATTGTGTACATCATATGCCAGAGGTTTAATGATATTCTTCTTGTAGAACATGCCTTTTGAGAGCTTAGTATAGGATTTGATGATTTCATACTGACATAATAAGGATAACATTTGACTAATTCTGGATATGGATCCTGCATTGAAAATTTTGTGTAGAAGCAATACAGTGCTGTTTGGTAAAGGGGAAAAAAGGGAACATGATTTTGAAACTGAAAGTTCAGTTAAAAACAGGAAACTGAAGTTCAGTTAAAAAAGAAAAACACATTACCAACTCTATAGTTGTAATTTTAGGAACCAGTACGGTGTTTTAGGACTCTCATAATGGTCTAGTCAGCACATTTCCTACTTTATGGTTGCTTAACTTTTCCCGACAAGAGCTTTGCTCTTAAAGCTTCTTGCCCTCTGCTAGGTTGAACAGCTTGTCTCCTAGAGAAATAGCTGTTATTGTTAAGCACAAAGAGCCTGGAACATGTGATGGCTTGATCATCTCAGTCTAAACCACGAACTTTACTCAAAAATCTCTGTGCAAAGAAGTAACCCCTGTTACATATTACCCATAAAAGGAACTAATTATGTATTTTTTCCTCCATGTTCAAATTATTTAGTAATACTGAAATAATATAATATATCAAGGTAAATTAATACAAAAGATTTGCAGGCAGAATTTCGAGACCTATCGTGTACATGTTATATGTTAGATCTATTAAGCTGTTTTCCACCTACCTTATTTTACTCTAGATCACCATAAAAAATATTTTACAGCATGTTTTTTTCTGAAAATTACTTAAATGGGCAGATGGTAAAAATGCCTTGTTTTTTTGAAGACCACAGATGCATTTCCATGACTTTCCTCTTAGCCATTCAATTTAGCGAGTTATGTTCATTATTTGGTAGATAACAGCTGTAGTGCTTTTGCATTATTCTGTGTCAATATATTACAGAAATCACTGAGAGGACAATGTGCGAGCTCAGTTTAACAGCCCTCTCAGATATATAGTTATAAAAAATCATCTCTTCAGCACAGCAATGAATAGCCTAAAACTACTTCAAGTGATTAAACCTATGATCAATACTGGCCCATTACCATCAAGAGCCCTATTATGCTTTTCACCTGGAAATGTATATTGCCTGTGCCTTTAAAGTGTAGTTCAATATAAATATATAAAATAATATATATATATATATATATATATATATATATATATATATATATATATATATATATATATATACACACACACACACACTCTGTGTGCATAATTATTAGGACATTTTTTGAAGATTCATTGAGTGCTCTTGGTAAATCCAAAATGTGAATAAACCTCAAACCTGAATATTTAATAAAGTAAAAGTGAGGTTTTGGCTTTCTTGGGAGAATATCTATTTGTGCACAGTTATTGAGCAACTATTAGGCCCCTTTCACATGGGTGGTTAAATTTAGGCTTTTAGCTGCAGTTAGAGGAACTTTTTTACCGCAGCTACCTGCAGACAATGGCTCCATTCGCACACTGCATTTAGCAACGTTTTCATAACATGCTTTTTTTGCGTTTAGGAAAAATAAAGTTGACAGCGTCCAGTAGTGATGTACCGGCTATCTGTACATAAACGCAATTAATCACAGTACAAATAACAAATAAGTAAACAGTTGCTATAGAAAAGGCAAGAATTTTACTACCGCAGCTAAACGCAGCTGCATGAAAACGCACGTAACTGCAGATAAACGCAATGTACAAACGCAAGTGATCTCTGTGCCAGGAATGTTGGAATCTCAAAATAAAAAAAAAACATGCATTTACAAGCAGCAGAACAACCGTCTGTGTGAAAGAGGCCTTAGTGTGCAGAATTATTATGCCACTAAATGAAAATCGAAAATTATCCCATTTCACTTATTTATTTGTATCTGTTAAAGTGAGAAAAAAAAATAATCAGTGACCAATATAGCCACCCTTCTTTTTAATAACAGTCATAAACCTTCCATTCATTCCTTCAGATGCTGTTCAGAGAGGTGTACTGTTTTCCTCCACCATAAATCTCCCATTTAGGAAGGACCCACAAGTTCTTAATAGGGTTTAGGTCAGGTAAGGAAGCGGGCCATGTCGCTAGCCATGCAGTGGAGTATTTTGATGCATGCGATGGAGCATTATCCTGCATAAATATCATGGTCTTCTTAAAAGGTGCAGATTTTTTCCTTGAAGAAAGTGTTTTCTAAAAACTGGCAGTAGGTTTGGTAGTTGATTTTGAGTCCAACCTGAAAAGATCCAACTAGCTCATCCTTATTAACCCCTTCACGCCTAAGGGTAAAACAAATCTAAATGCCTAAGCACAATTCTGCAACGTGGACATGTGTTAGTAAAACCGTACATATCATCACAACTCCTTTATACATCCAGGTGGATTATTCCACATTTTTTTCAGGACAAATTGGGCTTTCATTTGGTGGTAAATGGTAATGGATAGCTCCTAATTTTTTTTTATTCTCAAAGGAAAACTGACCCAAAATAGTAAAAAAAAAAAAAGTTTTTTTTTTTATTTAGCTGTGTGTTTCTTGTTATGACCATAACCTACCTCCATAGAACAACCTAAAATAAATTCCCCAGCTATTGCCGATCGCAGCGATACCATATATGTATGTTATTTGTTGTTTGTACCCGTAGTACAGCCCAGAAACAATAGTGCGCATTTTGTTTGTCTTTTTTTTTTTTTTTTTTTTACCTAAAACACACTGACACTGACATTAACGCTGACACTGGTACCATTTTTTTTTTTAAATCCTGACCTTGACCCAAACACTAACCCTGGTACTGAACTAGATCAAACCTTGATCTAGCCATTTTTTTTTATTTTTTCTTTTATTTTGTAATATTTATTTATTTATTTTTTTTTACAAACATTTTTTATATCTCTCGATGTAAGGAGTTAGAGTCCATTCATAGAGAGAGAAAAAACAAGGGGGCCGGGCTGCACAGTGACTGATCACTGTGATAGCCAATCAGAGGCTATCACAGCGATCACGTGCCCTGGAATCTGGAGTCCCATGTCCCGATCGTTAGAACGGGACCCGGGGCTCTCAGTGACACCGAGGTCTCTGTGCTGGGAGTACGCCGAGCGGCATGCTCCCAGCAGAAAGACAGGTACGCAAATATGCGGCCCCACGGAAAAAAGCCCAGTTCCGTGAGGCCGCATATTTGTGTGCCGTCGGTGTCAAGGGGTTAATACCGTCTCATACCAGTACCCCCCCACCTCACACTTGCTGACGTGTAAGTCAGAGTGGAGCTTTGGGCCCGTTACTGATCCAGCCATGAGCCCAA